CCCCAAAACCCCAAAACCCCAAAACCCCAAAACTCCACCCGAACCTGGTCCATCTCTCAACTAATTTTATGATCCAGTACAAGGCTGTGGAGCACCCTCTTGTCCGTCAGAGTCTGAGTCTTGCATCTCATAGTTCCTAATAGATCTGTACCCTTTGATGTATTCGTACTGTTGGCCTAGAGAAAAAGTTGGGAACAGGAAGAGAAGGGAGAAAACTTAGACCCTGAAAGTGGAATTTTGGAGGGTTAGAATGGAGAAAAGGTGCTGGAAGGTTCAAAAGTGGGATAGAGAGGTGTTTTTAGGTGTATATGATGGAACTATTGTGCTTACCTCCGACAAGCCTGAGAAAGGAATCATATTTGATAGGGTCTTTTAATCTATATCTGGAGTAGATTTCTTCTAATTTTTGAAGATATCCATCTTCGTCATTAAGAAATTTAGGATATGCTTCAGAGACGAAAGTATCCATATATTCTTTATCTCCTCAATCAGCAAAAGTTGGAAGGGCTTCTAAATATTTATCTTCATATTCTTTAAGTAACTCCCACTGCGATATTGCCATAAATCCTCTAATATATTCCTTGTAATCATAGATTGATAATTGGTAGTCCCAAGGATGAATGATCATTTCCCAAACTTTAGCTTTATTCTCTAAATCAGGTATTGAAGAATCTCAACAAATCTTGAGTCTGTGGGCTGTATCACTCTTATCAACATCAAGTTCTTTCTGAAGTAGCTCTTGTTTCACCTTGAGATCAATAGAATCATACTGGAAAATCTCTTTCAGAAGCTTATGACGGTCACTGAGAGTAAGATTTAGTGCCTCTACAATCTTGTCTTCTTCATCAGTAATGTACCCCTTCTGGAGCCACTTCGTAGCCATTTGGGCTTGCTCATTACCATATAAGTAATTTATCATGGAAGATTTCAGAACCTTTATCAATTCCTCATAATGTTTAGTTGGTTCCTCCTCAAATTTCTGAGCAATTTCTAAAATTCTTCTGTAATACCTTAAACATAGCTTATTTTCATATAGACTCAAACCTTGCCCTTGGAAGATAATGGAACGCTCAAGAGAAGAAGCATGGACCAAGTATATCCTGAATCATAAGATTTTCTTCATCAGGGAAGTTTTCATAGATAATATTCATAAGTGCAGAAGGCTTGAGCTTCATTTTACTGCAGAGAGAGACTATACCACGCCAAACAATAACTCTATCAACCTCGTCGGGAATTTTTGAGAGTAACCCATTTTGAAGCTCCTTTATTAAGAAATTGTCAGGGATTGCTTGAATATAAGCATGGTCTCCGGAATTGGGAATCACAAAGCTCGTCGACACAGAGCATTCTGAATGCTCTACTCTTTGCTCATAATTACGCTTATCATTCAACATCAAGGAGTAGTAATTAAAATCATAGGAATTTTCTTGACTATTCTTGGAAATGATACAATAATCAATTAGTTGGTGGTTAACTTTGCTAGAGTGTACTCCTTGCTTTTGAATGAAAGAAACACATGTACTATCTTCTTCCTCTTCCTCATTCTCATTAATCTTTGCATAAATTGTATTTACCCCTTTAGAATTAAGAAAGTCCACTCAGAATTTTTCAAGGTTAAAATTTTCCTCAAAAGTGATTCCTTCACTGGATTCTACAAGGCATGAGACAAAGTCTTCAAGTGTGGTGTTTTGCCAAGCAAACTTTTTAAAATAAAGACTTCATGTTTGCTTCATCAAATCAATACCGATAATCTTTACAAGCTGTTTCAGGAAGCTTGGACCTTTACCATAAGTGATAGAATTCAGAAGATCCTCCGCAGAGTCTGTGTGAGGCGTGTATTTCACAATTGGATGTGTATTTGATAGAGTGTCAATATTTATAGCACTCTGTTTACCCTTGTTGAAAGCGATCCAAATCCCAGGAGTCTTGGAAGAAAGCGATTGATTCTGGTCCACACAGAGGTAAGACATGTAAGTTGCAAAAGCCTCATTTAGCCAGAGATCATTCCACCATTTCATTGTTCATAGATTTCCAAACCACATGTGACAGAGCTCATGGAGGACAATATTTTGAATACTGAGTCATTTATTAGTTGTGTATTCTTCCAAAGGAATGCTAGTCTCAGATATAGTAACAGCCCCTGCATTTTCCATTGCTCCAAATTTAAATTCAGGGCAGAAAATCTGGTCATATTTCTCCCATACAAATGGGGTCCCAAAGAAGTCACTGTACCAGTATATTCCAGTAAGGGTAGCTTCATGAACATCTTCATAAATTTTATTAGCTTTTGGCTTCAAAGATTCTCTTCAGAGATATCTCATTTTAAGTTTAGTATCTCTGCCTGGAATATTTTCTTCTCTACTGTGCACATCAAAAGGACCTGAAATTATGCAGAAAAGGTATGAAGACATCAATTGGTCATTGCTAAACTTAGATATTTTGTATCCACCAGTAAAAAGATCTTTGGCAAACCCTAAGTTATAATTATCAAGGAGCTCTTCACATTCTTCATGAGAGGATTTACTTTTAATCTGTATGATTTCTTGGGAATTACTCAAATTTTCATGCGATTCTGGAGACACAAGAGTGAGACCCATTCTTGCCTTTAAGTCTGGTTGATCAAAGCATGGGAATACTTTATGTGCATTATAAATAGCAAACTGCGAGTAAATATACTCCTTCTGGTCAGAAGGATCGATAAATTTATGAAGACCAATGCCAGTCTTCTTGTATTTATTTACATACTTTATTCTGATACAATTAGACCCTTCTACAAAGTATTTATGGTTGAGTAAATCATTGAGATCTGCTGCATCAGGATCAATGGGAACATTGCACCCGTTGACTTCAATCTCCTGAATTGAATAGAACTCGTAGTCAAGGAAGATAGTGTCTTCTTCCGAGTTCAGTACGAAATAGATTACTACTCTCCCACAGTAGTAGTCTCCCTTCGGAAGAACAAGGAGGAGATCATAGAAAATATCACTTATCATTTTGCTCCTCTTCTCAGCTTGTTCTCTATACAAAGGCGAAGATATATGCTGATTAACTATTTAAATTAGACTCTGAAACATACTCTTGATTTGGCTTGTCTTTGAGTCATCAATAAACTTAAGAAGGTTGATCTGAGGAGTGGTAATTAGAGACTCCATTTTCAATATTTTTATTTTTTTACGGGGTTTTGGGGTTTTGGGGTTTTGGGG